AGACCTCTTGTATCACCCCCAACTGGGTCCCTGTGGCTGACTGTTCCTCTGTCTGGCTTCCTGGCTTTTAATCCCCTTTCTCCTGCTCTTCTGCCCTGCTGTTTTGTGCGTCCCTGAGTTGTCCCTGGGGCTGACTGCTCCTCTGTCCGGGTTCCTGGCTTTTTATCCCCTTTCTCCTGCTCTTCCATCCTGCTACTCTGGGCGGGCCTGAGTTGCCTCTCCTCACCTAATCCCTTCGGCTGACTGCTCTTCTCTCTGCCTTCCTTTCTTTTAATCCCCTTTCTCCTGCTCTTCCCGCTTGCTACTTTGGGCGTCCCTGAGTTGTCTCTCCTCACCTGTAACCCTGGGGCATAAATATATAGGGATATCCTAAAGGATCTCTGGCTTTTTCTGCTGACCTGAACTTTTTCTGAATTTTAACCAGTGGCCTGCTATATAGCCTGCTGATCTTAGAATAGTTGAGCCCATAGCCCACCATCTCTCCTGCCAGTCTTGGATTCTTCAGCCTCCAAAGCAAGTAGTCTGCTGTATTTCCTCCCAACCTTGGGGTCATCAGCCCTTGTAGCTACATGAATCAGGAGAAGCCTCCAGCTTGACCCATAGACTTAGGACTTGCCAGCCTCTATAACTGTGTGAGCCATTTTGTTGATATAAATTTCTCTCTCTCTCTTTCTTATTTTTCTTTTCACTGGTTTTGCTTCTCTAGAGAACCCAGCCTAAGATATATGGCTTGGGTCAGGCGCACCTGACTCTTCAAAGTGATATCTTTGCTTTTTAACAGTTTAAAAAGACCTTTGCAGCAAATTCACCCTGTTCAATATGTCATTTGATTTTTTTTGACTGTTGCTTCCATGGACATTGATTTTGGATCCTAGGAAAATGAAATCCTTGACAACTTCAATGCATTCTATGTTTATTTTGATGTTGCTTATTGGTCCAGTTGTAAGGACTTTTGTTTTCTTTGTGCTGAGGCAGAATCTATACTAGAGAATGTAGTATTTGATCTTCACCAGTAATAGCTTCAGTTCTCCTTCACTTTCAGCAAGCAAGATCATGTCTTCTGCATATCACAAGTTGTCAATGAGTCTTCTTACAATCCTGATACCATGTTCTTCCTGATATAGTCCAGTTTCTCGGATTATTTGTCAAAGATACAAACTGAGTAAGTATGGTGAAAGGATACAAGCCTGACACACACATTTTCTGATTTTAAATCATGCAATATCCCCTTGTTGTGTTCAGATGGCTGCCTCTTGGGCTATGTATCCAGGTTCTACATAAACACAATTAAGTGTTCTGAATTCTCAAGTTTACAATGTTATCCATAATTTGCTATTATCCACACTGTTGAATGTCTTTGCATAGTCAATAAAACATAGGTAAACATCTTTCTGGTATTCTCTGCTTTCAGCTAAGATATGTCTGATATCAGCAATGATATCTCTCATTCTATGTCCTCTTCTGAATCTGGCTTGAATTCCTGGCAGTTCCCTGTTGATGAACTTCTATGACCATTTTTTAATTATCTTCAGCAAAATTTTCATTGCATATGCTATTAATGATACTGTTTGGTACTTTTCACATTTTATGGGATCACTTTTCTTTGGAATGAACACAAATATGAACCTCTTCTAATCAGTTGGCCAGGTAGCCATTTTCCAAATTTCTAAGCATAGATGAGTGAGTACTTCTAGCATTGCACCCATTTGTTGAAACAGCTCAACTGGTATTCCATCAATTAATATGATGAGCAAAAGTTTCCACGATGGTTAAGCATGCTAGCACATGGAAAGTTCCTGAGAAAAGTGTCTAACAAGTAGTTAGCACTCAAGAAATATTGTGTATTAATATGTAATACTACTAAGATATGAAGCCTATCACCTTGAATTTACACATAGGAAATGTGAAGAAATTAGGAAAAACCATGGATGGAAACTATATCCTTTACACTCTACATACCTGCAGCAAGGTATGAGCCTCCTCCAGCTTTATAGAGAAAATGACTGGCAAATGGAGCTGCACAGATGATCAAAAAGCTTGCGGTCACAACAGCAACCACACCCAGGAGCATCAGCACTGCCCAGAAACCACGGTAAACTGGAAATCCCAGGATAAAAGAAGGAAAGAAAATCACACTTAGAATGTGAGCACAGTAAACTATCACAAAGTAAGTTTCTTTCCTCTTCATTCTCCTAATTTCAGTCATAGCAATGATAGGCAGAATTCTAGGACATGAGCCCTGCATTACTTTAAACAGAGACCTTATTAGATAGAGATAGCCTTGGAGTCAATGATGTTCACTTACAATCAATTCCTCATGTCTAATATTTGCCTCATACCCATGCTGATGAACTTTGAAGGTTTTTTTTTTTTTTTTTTTTTTTTAAGTGACCAGATCTTCCATTTTAGAAGTGTGAACATCCCAACCTCTAAAAACAGCTATCTTGGGTAAATACCCAGTGAGTCACAAATAGGTGTTTCATGCCAAATGTAGAAAGACAAGAAAAAGCATTCAAATTATTTGCAGACACTACTTTGTATTTCCTGTTAAGATAATGTTTGTACCACAGTGAGCCCTTGTGAGTTGGTAATAATCAGCCCAAACCTTTAATGAAAAAGTACACTTCTGTTTAGATTATAGCTCTTTTAAAAATAGCAGTAAGCAATAAGAATGATAAATAAAACAAATATGTTTGAGAAGCTATACAATTTTACATCAGATATGTACAATGTGTGATACTTTTTATTAATACTTGTACTTTGAATGATTCAAAAACAGAAGTGTAAGTGTCTCTCAGTCAAGGGTGAACAAGGCCAGTTAATGTAGCAGGTGATAAATGGATTTGAGTTTGGTGATGTATAGTAATTAAAGAAAAAGGAATTCTATAGATTATTTTTTTACTTTAATAATCACCAATCTATTATATTTATCATTTCCAAAAGACTAAACCGTTAAAATAAATTCTTGGTGCAAATGGGGCAAGTTCAGTTTTTGATGAAAACATACAAACTTTATAAGAAAACAAGGAATGATTTTTTCAAAGGCCAACTAGTAAAGAAGAAATTTGTTAATCAATTGGAAAAAATAATATGGGAAGATAATTATTTGAGGAAAGGAGTCACTGGAGGTAAATGGGAAAGGAAATTGGAATTTATGAGTGAGTAACTAAGTCCTGAAGACAAAAATAAAAGGTAGGCTTTTACTTGACATGTCAGTGCTAATAATTTTGCAGTGACTTCCCAGTTTGCTGTGTTAGAAAGTATCATGGGGTTGTATTCATGAAGTGTCGGGAGAAGAGAAGTAAAGACATACTGATATCAGTTGTAAGTGTGGGAAGGAAGAGCCAAACACGTGACCCAAATATTTGCCATCTGTACCATAACTTAACAACAACCATAACTGAGTTTACTAAATAATTGATAATCCTTCTATTTTATAATTTTTATTCACTAGGGGTGAAAACCTTAATAAGATCCATCAAGGGAATATGAAGCTAAGTTTAACACTTCCCAATCACAACTAAAACTCTTGACAAATATGACAAAGAACTACCTGCAAACTCTGAAAAGTCAACAATAGCAAGTGGAGTAAAGAGTGGGACAAGCAGCAAAAAAGGTCAATCCAGCCACAAAGAGTTTTCTGGGATTTTTATGTTTTGTTTTGTTTTTTTCTCTTACAAGCTAAAGTAAAGACAAAACCAAATTACTCTTCGTCATCAAGCTAGTTCCAGCTAATAGCAATCCAACAGGACAGAGTATAACTGCCCCATAGAATTTCCAAGACTGTAATCTTTATGGAAGCAAACCGCCACATCATTCTCCAGTGGACTAGCTGGTGGTTTGAAATCAGCAACTTTTTAGTTAGTCTCCAAAGACTTTAACCACTGTGCTATCAGGGCTGTTTAAGCCAAATTAGAAACTGAACAAAACAAAAACCAAACTTGTTGCTATTGCGTCAAATGAATATGAGAAACTTAGTAGAAAGTACAAACAACAACAACAGCAACAAAGCCAGATAAAAGGATCATTCTGGGTGGAGAACCAGGACAGGGAGTCACATAAGCCAGAGAGTATGAGGGAAATTCACTTTCTTTTTTTGTCCTCTTCCAAAGTTGCCTCAAGGCCAGTTCCAAATGCACATCTGCACTGTCACATCAGTGGTAGCATGAGCACTTCACATCCTAAAATATGATCCACACCTCTGGATAGAAAAACCAGAAAAAGGGATCCCTGTTGTGCAAAAAGACAGGGAGTTCCCCTTATATATTTTCCCCTTTTCTCTTGCCACTTTGCCCTATGGCATATTTGCATAGAACTACTCTGACTTGAAGATGGGGCAATCTACTTCCGTAGTGATATTGCCTCGGAAACCCAAGGAGGGGTCGCTATGAGTTGGGTCTGACTCGATGGCACATAACAACAACAGCAACAACTCTGACTTGATGGCAAATAGCAACAACACAACCAACACATCACAGCAGAGAAGGAAAGTAATAGAAACCTGAAGAAGAGAAAAAAATTGAAAACAAAATAAATGGAGTTTCAGATATTTGTGGGGCAATATCAAAAGGTTTTATATTTATGTCATCGGAGTTCTTAAATCAAGACAAAACAGATTAGTGCAGAAAAATAAATAAATAAAAGAAATAATGCCTTAAACTTTATCAAACATGGTGGAAGACAAACGTACAGATAAAGAAATTCAGTGAACACCAAACAAGATAAACTTAAATAAATCATCTCTGACAAATAATAGTCAAATCACTGAAAACCAAAATCAAAGAAAACATTGTGAAACTAGCCAAAGGGACACAACAACTTGAAAGATGGCAAATTTCTCATGCAAAATGATGGAGGCCAGAAGACTAAAGTGACAAAAGGAAAGACTCATAAACTTGAAATTATATATCTGGTGAAAATATCCTTATGGAATGAAGATGAAATAAAGCCATCTGAGAAGAAGGAAAACAGAGAAAATGTCATCAGCAGACCTATTCTATAAGAAATGTTAAAAGAAGTGCTTCAAACTGAGGGAAAATGACACTAGAGTATATTTGAAACTTCAGGAATGAAGAAAGAGAAGCAAAAATGCTAAATATTTGGGTAATCATAATAGACTATTTTTATCTTCTTGATTTCTGCTAACCAGAAGGCTGGCAGTTCAAACCCACCAGCCACTCCTCAGAAGGAAAGTTGGGCAATATACTTCCCTAGTGATACCTCCTTGGAAACCCAAGGAGTGGTCGCTATGAGTCGGGTCCAACTCGACAGCACATAACAACAACAACAATAAATATTGGAATAAAAAATATTTTCAGCACAATATAGTAGAAAAATACAGGTCTTGGAATAAGAAAGATCTGAATATTTACCACTCGCTGTGTGATCTTGGACCAGTTACTTAAGCTTCCTAAACCTCTCTCTCTTCTTCTATAAGATATAGATGTTTGTGTTCATGCTTTAGAGTTGTTGATATAATTATTGGTATAATGCATGTAGAATATGTGGCATACAATAAAAGATAAATGAAGGGAATTTGTTTTTAGATTGTTTACTGTTAATATTATAGAAATCACATTAGCAGTACATACCAGGTGGTACAAGTACTTTTGGACTTACAAGATTCCATTCCAATGACTGTCAAAAGTCAGTTCTGACTTAAATCAAATACTTCATTTTTCTCCTTTTAGTTTTCATTATTATTGCCTTTTATTATCAGTATCTTTATAAATCTGACCTTTATTTGTCTTTGGGTGTTGGAAACTTTGCATATAAACTTCAGATATACTTTAATGCATAAATATATATGTTAAAAAGCACATAAATCATAAAAAAAATGCTCTGACAAGGAAGAGTTGGATAACTGTATTTTGTCATTTGGAGCAATAACTCTCCCTGTAGAAGGTTCTGGATTATCTGGATTATTCCTGGGAACTGGGATGGTGTTTCTTGTCAGAAAATTAGTGAGAGTTGTCTGTATGGTCTTTTTCTTTTTTTTCTTCATGTATTTTGCCGTAACATCTCACTGCTTCCCCAATCTGCCTATTGACTTTATCAAAGTGATTTTCCATATCCCCTGCATGTATTTTCCTGCATGTAACTTCCTCCCAGGAAGATAAGATGTTCTAGATACACTGAATAATACTACAGTTCTTCCAGAAATACTATAATGTTACATGCCGCAAAACTGTATGTAGTACATGTTACTAACAAGATGTTAAAAAAAAAAAAATAGGATGGTCATTAAGTGTGGTTCATAGTAACTCAAGTATGTCATAAATCAGGGACTACCTCTGTTATGTTCAGTAATAGGAAAGTGGATTCTTCCATCAGAGAGCCTTGACTACTGTTTTTAAGTACCATTGAGGTTGGGAAATCCCTTAGGATTATTTATTTTGTTTCAGTAAAAATAATTTGTGTTTGGGCAAAGTAAACTGCCTATATGGAAACTTCCAGAAAGGTCCTATATTGCTTTTCACAGGAAATTTCCCTATCAGCTTTCCGAGAGGACACTAGCCATGTTGTCTTTTACATGACTACTCTGTCAAATTAGCCAAAACATAAATGAATCGAGACAAACATCTGACACAAAGATAGCCTGTGCTACATCTGGTGACCTCTGCGGCATGCCTACCAACAGTTTGAAAACTGAGTTGGGCTACTTCGAAAAGCGATTAGCAGCAGAGTTGAAACTAAAAGGAAGCACTGGTGGCTGAGTCCAGAAAGCCAGGGTAAATTAAAGTCACATGCAAGGCAAGAACACGGAAATTATGAATCATGAGCAGAGAGCAATGAAAGCGGGATGATTCTCTACCCAGAGAGGACAGAGGAACTAACTGTGAGAAAGAGAAATCATGTTATAAGGGAGAGGGAAAACGGGACAGCAGGACAAAAGCGGAGCATAAATGGCTTCCAGAGTGGCTTTTATACCTAATAACTGTTAATATCTGTCCTGGGTGAGGTTACAATAAATCTCCTTTCATTTGTTCTAGGAAATAGAAAAAAAAAAAAATTATTAAGAATCTCTATAAAAGGCAGGAACAATGTTGGTATTTGAGGGAAGGAAAGATATTGGCGGACTGGAGAGCTGTGACCAT